AGCGGCATATTGGTGGCCGCCGCCGCCGTCTGGAGCTGTTTCCTCCGTCGCTTGGCGGATCTTGTTTCCATTGGTGGAGAGAGTAATAAAAATTAAATTCTGAAATTCTCTTTTATATTTCTATTGATTTTCGTTTCGATACGTTTTTTTAATCAATTTTATTAATTTGTTTCCCTTTTAAGTGATGAATTGATGATATGAGTTTTTGTGTGATGGGATTGTTGTGATTGGCAGTGTGATAATTCGGCTACTTATTTGGAGGAGTTTGAAGTTTTCAAAAGGGTGACTCGGGTTGGGACGAGATGAGTGCAAAAGTTGTTAGATTTTAAATTGATTAATATTTTTCTTTTCTCTTGTATACTTTTTAATATATATTTTTTTAGTACAAATATACTTTTTACTATTATTAGTAAGTACCATCATCCTATATATAATTTTCGAATACGCTGAGCCTAAGTGGCAAGCCCGCATGCTTCGGAATCATATGTGTCAAAATTTCATGCTTCATTGTTTGGCTTAGATAGATTTTAATTTAATTTTAATCCCAAAATAATTAGGTTCAGATTACCATAAATATGTTGATGTATTTATGATCATTTTAAATGTATTAATTGTATTTTAATATCATTTCCTATTATAAACCATTGAATTGTAAATGTATTTTAAAAGTTGATAACTTTTGTATTTTTTATCGGTTTTACATATATAATATATCAAATTAATTGTCTTTTGATGAGTTTCGATTTGACATTCATTTTATATATATAAAATAAATAAATCATATTTATGTTTATAATAATAATAGAATTATTTATTAAAATTAATTAAAAATAAAATTATTTCTCAATTAATATATTTATGTTTAATGAGTTATACGTTATAAATTAGAAACATTATTATAATATGACACATGTATGTCACACAAGTAACAAGTGTCATACTAAAATATATAATAATATATTTATTATAAAAAACTATTTAAATTTTCAACTACTTTTTTCTCATTAATTTTAAATTTTAAGAAAATAATTTAACAAGCACTCGTGTAATACACGGGTTTGGTACTAGTATACATTGAATTACAATATTAAAAATAATTTTATTGCGCTTATGATAAAGGAAAGAAATACTAAAATAAAAATCACAATAAATATCATTTTAATATTTAATTATTTTTATATATTAAATATTAGACAACACAAACATGATTTATTCATTTTTTTTTTTTCTAGAAGTCACACAATTGAAGAATTTTTATATAAAAAATGACAATGATGTTGAGAAATTTTTACTTGGGAGTGTGGATAAATTTCGGGTGGGAAAGCCAACTTGTAAAATTATTAAATTAGTGGTACTTAGTTTTTTTGTAAGAAAAATTACCCTCAATCCATCAGAAATATTGCAGTGTTTTGAAATATCATTTACATTAAATAATAATCAAAAGTTATATTAGTAAGTTAAAAAAGCTTCCTTAAATATCATTTAAATTAAAGGATAGTTGAAAATTATATTATACTAGTAGATATCTTGTGCACATGCACAGATGTACATAAAATATTATAAGTAATATTTAAAAATTTAATATTAAAATTCTAGATAATGAACATATTACATTTTCAAAATTTTGATCATTAGGAAAAAAAAAATAATTAACGATTTTATTATTATGAACAATTGTTTTATATCATTAGGTAATAACAGTTTGATTATTATTATTATTATTATTAAGCTTCTAAAATTGTTTGATTATGTTATTAAAATAATTTACTAATTGTTTTTAAAGAAATTTTTTCATGAGATACAAAAGAAAAAGATAATATTGATGTTAAAATAAATAACTTGAAACAATTGTTTTTATATTTATTGTGAAATATTGTTAGTTGGTATTAGCAATAACTATTATATAATACTAGTGCGTGGCCCGTGTGATGCACGAAAAAATAATATTACGATTGTGTTATAAATTAAATATACAAATAAATTAATCAAGATTTACTCATCGTTTTTAAATTAAACCTTGTTGGACACAGTCCGACCGGATGGACCGAGAACCGGTTTATAATCAGTCTAGTTCACTTGAATAAAATATTTGCTATTGAATTCTTCAACACCAGTCGGTTGAACTGGTAGGATCGATATAATTTTTTAAATAATTTTTGTTATATTTAAAATTATTTGAAATAAAATTACATATTTAAATAAAATAGAGATTTATAAATTGTTTATCAATTAATTTAAATATTTAAATTTTTAAATTTTCATATATTTAAGTAACACATTTTATTAAAATTTATTACAAAAAGTATTATAAATAATATATATATATATGTATATTAAAGCGTATTTTTAAATGAAAAATATTAAATTTTATAATTTTTATAAATAAAATTGTATGATTATATTAAAGAGTATTTACAAATTAAATTGTATGATTTTTAAAGAAAAATAATAATAAAATTACTATTTATGGGCTGCATTAAATGCTGACCTATTTTTTTCTACTAATTTTAGTAAATAGAATGGCTCTTTGTATAAGTATAGATAATAGAAACATAGACAATTACACTCAATAGGATGTATTAATGTGAGAAATAAAAAAAAAATATTAATGATAAATTTTGTAACTGAAAATGAAGGGAAAATTTTAGAGATTTTATTAAATAGGTTTTAATAAATGATATATGCTAGCAATTATATATATATATATATATAGATTAAAATAAATAAGCAAATTAATAGACATGATCCAATTTATTAGAAAGATGTAAGTATATTTATAACGGTAATGTTTCTCTATCCACGATGGGCACATGTTAGTATGCTCCCCTAGTCTGTCTGCATTTCTAAAAAAAGTATAATGTGACAGTTTTTATATATCTTTCTGAACATTATGGAATAATATGAACTAATAAAACACAATCTAGTCTAACTTTTGTAATATTTTCTATTTTTTTTATAATGATTTTTATTTATTGTTTTGATTTTGAAAATAAAAAAGTAATCAATCTATATATTTATAATAATAAAATATTCACCAAAATATGTCAATTATAAGCATAATAAAACCATTATGCCTACATTTCCCAAGACATGGCCAACTAAAGATAAAAACCAAACAAGAAGTTGGGCCTAAGCCAATCCCCGCAACGAGCGGCCTACAAAACACGCAAATAACCCAAGACGCGATGCTGGGTATGTCGATCCCCTGAATGACAAAAGTCGGTCCTCACCGATCTCTCTCTAAAGTCTTCTTGAGTAAGATTGACGATTTCATGACATCTGAATGTCGAACTAATAAAGTTGAGGCCACCGCACAAGTTTGTTAGTGTTTGTGTTATTTTAGGTGTGTTTTAGTCTCCATTTTGGATATAATATTCTCCACTAGTGGGAGTTAGCATTCTCCGCTTCTAGAAGTTAGATTTGTTTTGTTTTTCTTCAGTCTTGTGGGAGTCTTGTGGGTGTATTTAGTGCAGTTGTTTCTAGGCTTCTGACATGTCGTTACGTGCGCCTCTCCTTGGATTCGGCTTTATAGTCGCTTTCGTCGGTTGCCCTAGCTGTCTTCAGGATTGTAATTATCTGTTTTATAGTTTATAAAATCTATCGTTCCCAAATAATAATAATAATAATAATAATAATAATAATAATAATAATAATAATAATAATAATAATAATAAAGAACAGAGGCAAATACAATCAGAAGATAATGTGATGTTTTTGCAATTTTATCGAAATTAGGTCTCTCCTTGAATTAGGTTGTATTGCCGCTTTAGTCGATTGTCTTAGTTGTCTTCATCATTATAATTATGTGTTTTTTAGTTTATAAAATCTATTGGGAGGCAAATGTAATCGAAAGATAAGGTACCATTACTTTTTGCAATTTTATAGAAATTGTAAAATTGGGAGATAAAATTTCTTAAAAATTTAAATTGAGAAAAAGAATGGTGTTTAATTTTTTTCCAAGTTCGAGATGTCTAAAAAGGAATTGAAGCTTTTAATTATATCTTGGAAACAACCAGAACTAAACTCCAAAGTTGGAAGAACAAGCTACTCTCTACAACTGGTAAGGAAGTGTTTATTAAAGTAGTTCTTAGTTCTCTCCCGGTGTTTGCTATGTCATGGTTCAAACTTCTTTTTTCTTTGTGCAAAGCCATTTCAAGTATGTGTGCTCAATTTTGGTGGAGCAAAGAAGAGGACAAAACCAAGGTATCTATTAGAAATCATGGAGCCCATAAAATTTCAACTCATTTGGCCAAGTACACAATTTATAATGTTTTTTATAAAATCCAGAGAGTAGGCCATGTTCAAAAATTCATAAATGACTCATAACACATCAAATTCGTCCAAAGCCTTCACCATAAGGCCAAAGACATCACAAGGTTCCATAATCCACAGGCTAAACGCGAATTCAACATGATCTACTAGGGTTTCATACTAAACCACTCAAGATCAACATAAAACAATTAATCTAGCAACCCTAGCATGCAAATAATTCCAAGGCATCAACATATCATATAATAACACATTAAAAATAGGGGGTTTCTCAGCCTTGATACCGTTGTAGGGAAAATCACGCGAAGGATCAAAAGAGGGCAGAGACGGGGCTGCAGGCGCGCGCGGGTGGCTCGG